GGTCAACAGTACTCAGAACTACTCAGCATGAAAATGAAAATAAGATCCAATATGAAGTCAGTTAGTGCTACTCATTATACGGATCAGAGACTTGCACTGCGCGTCATAAAGAGCACCTCAAACAAACTACAGACCTTCATCAACAGCTGTCTTCGCTCAATACCACTGAAGATCAGATGGCCGGGCGGCCAGAAAAGATCAGCAACAGGGTGGGATCTCTGGCAATGAGCGAACCAACACAGCAAGAACCGATTGTGCAACAAATAAGCAGGAAGAACTGGAGATGGATTGGCTGGCCATACTCTGAGGAAACCATCAAGTGAGTGACATCACTAGACAAGCCATTGTTCGAGTGGAACTCGAAGGGGAAGAGGCGAGTTGGTCAGCGTGAGGGTGACTTGGAGGAGATCATATGAAGAGGAGATGAAAACACGTGGGCAGGCACTGAGTTACGTGAAAACGTTGGCTGAGAAATGAAAACAATGGGGACGTCCGGCTCAAGCCGTATCAACTAAAGGAAACAATAATGTAATAATAATAACAATACAAGATTCACTCGCACAGCTTTGAGGAAGATTTTTAGTCGAGAAGGAATTCCAGATGTCTTAGTTACTGACAATGGTACTCATTTCACTGAGAAGAACTCCAGTGATTGGCTTAAACATATAGGTTGTAGTCATCTGTACACAGCACTACGTCATCCTCAGTCTAACAGGTTGGCAGAAAATTTTGTACCGACATTAAATAATGCTATAGCGTCAATGAGTCCTAAGAATTTTGACGAGCTAGAGAAATATGTAGATTTGAAGCTTTTTGTGAGTTGCGATATAGTAGATTGTGCCCGTTTTTCAGTGACTGAATTGACGTATTCAGTAAACCTCTCAGTTTCACTAGGTAGCAGATGGTGGAGGGCTGGAGACCTATGTGAAATGTTGCGTTGTAGCGAAAGTGAAAATAACTTTTTTCAATGACTGTATCACCAATCGCGAATATCCAAAGTGGTTTTGGAAAGCTCTGAGAAGAAGTCACATATATCCCAACACTAAATCTTTCCGACGACATGCATTAAATCTTTTCGACTCTATTAAATCACGTACTCCAGAACTACAACGCAACATTTCACAAAGGTCTCCAGCCCTCCACTATCTGCTACCTAGTGAAACTGAGAGGTTTACTGAATACATCAAATATGTAGATAACTTCCTACTTCAATAGCATACAAGTACTCATGAAAGTCCTTCTAAGCTATTCAAATCTCGAATTCTCCCAACGCATGTAATGTCGACGTCTTCTGGTGTACATTATTATATTAGAGGGAATAAATTCCAGCTCATTTTATTAATGCTATTGGGCTAGATGCGTACAGCGTAGTGAAACCTCTGTCATTTCCAGATAAACCAATTTCTCTGTCTTATGATAAACTCCGTAAACTTCTAACAAATCACTTCCACATAACAACTTTCGAAACACGAGAGAGGGCTCCCCAAGCTTACAATAATGCTGAATTATATCTCAGTAATTCTGAAATAATTCTAGCATCCTATAGTGAGTAAATTCTGAATCTGTTCTCGAATGGTTTGTTTAATGGCACAGACTAGAACTCAGTGCTGGTTTTCAGCATGACTAAAACTAATTCAGCACTGTGTTCTTTTTCTCGGCATTTTTAGGAGTAGATCAGAACCTACTGGGCTTGCTTGTCAGCCTTGTTCCAGCCCTTACAGGACATATTAAGCACTGACTAGCATTAATTCAGAACGGAAAGACTTAATTCAGCACATAGTGGCAATTTTTTCAGCTTAATTCTAGCCTTCTCAGCACATATTCAGCACTGACTAGCATTAATTCAGAACGAAAAGACTGCTAATCATCACCTTTGTCCTACGCCGGCGCAATTCATTTAGTTTACAGTTTTTATAATTGAGAGACTTTTGTATTTAATCAACTGTAGTACATTTTCACTGCAAATCCGTCAAGTGAGATTCACTGGTAGCATCCTGTAAATAAGCAAAATAAAATATTATTTATGAAAAATTGTGCTCAGCAAATAATAAGGATTTACATTTAGAAAAAGTTACTTATATAACTGGCACTGTTATATCACCTGGTATCATTAACATTTGCCTAAAAATGAAAAAAAAAATGTTGCGATTACTACATGTTCAATGAAAGAAGAGAGGTTAAGTAGACTGGGTTTATTTCCACTGTCATACAGACGACTTAGGGGTGACCTAATACTAGCATACCGTATCCTAAGAAATGATTTTGGAGCTAATTTATCTAATTTATTTCTTCCTTCTAGCACCAACCAATTGCGAGGACATCACCTCTAGGTTCAAAAACCACGGTCGAATCGTCTGCGTCTGGAGATCCGTTTTTCGCATCGAATTGTGAACCATTGGAACTCCCTACCGGAACACGTCGTATCAGCGCCATCCGTTGATTCATTCAAGGCGAGATTGGACCTCCTGTGTGTAACAAATCGAAAGGATTAACACAGGCATATAGCCTACTATCCTAAATAAATCGTAAACTGTAAACTGTAAACTACAGCAAAGTTGCACTACGCTAGAAAGCGAAGACATTCTCTACAAGCTACATGGCTCAAAATACTTTTCCAAAATAGATCTAAAAGATGCTTATTTGCAAATTCCTCTTGACGAAGCGTCTCGTGCATTAACAACCATTAATACTCCATTTGGATTGTTCAAGTATAAGTTCTTACCTTTTGGTTTAAAGGTTTCACCTGCAATATTTCAAAAAGTAATAAATCAGATGATAGATGGATTAGATGGTGTTGAGTCTTACCAAGACGACATTATAGTTCATGGTCCGACCATCGAATTGCATAATGAACGTCTTTTAAAACTGTTCAGGCGTTTCTGTGAGAAAAATGTTCTTGTTAATCCGTCTTGCTAGTTACTAGATAGATGTTTAAATGTCCAAGAGACTGGAGAGATGCCATCATTAGTCCGGTCTTCAAAACCGGATCTAGGAACTTAGTTCAGAACTATCGTCCTGTTAGTTTGCCCAGTATTGTTGTTGAACTACTAGAAAGAATAATTCGTGATGCTATCATTCAGTTCATTGAAGGGAACAAACTTTTCGCTGTGGAACAGCATGGTTTTAGAGCAGGTCATTCTTGCTTGACCAACCTTCTTTTGGCCAGAGAAAGTTGGGCAAGCTCAGCTGATGCTAATATACCGGTGGATGCCATATTCATCGACCTTAGCAAGGCGTTTGACAGGGTTTCTCACTCAGGTCTTCTAGTAAAGTTAGGTAGTCTGGGAATCAATAAAGTGGTTGCCGACTGGATTCAAGACTTTCTAAAGGACAGAAGACAAAGAGTACGAGTTAACAGGGTTTTATCAACATGGGAATCGGTTAAGAGTGGCGTTCCTCAGGGTACAATTCTAGGCCCACTTCTTTTCTTGATTTATGTTAATGAGATTCCATCGGTAGTTAAGTCATCCTGCTTACTGTTTGCTGATGACATTAAGATATGGAGGGCTTTACACGATGACAGTGACCAACTTGCTTTGCAGGAAGATGTAAACTTGTTAAGTGATTGGTGTAAGCACTGGGCCTTGGAGATTAACTTAAGCAAGAGTGTAGTTATGCATGTATCTCATAGTCACGTGCACAATTACCCAATGAATGGCATTACTCTCCCAGTGGTCACTGAGTACAAGGACTTGGGAGTGGTTGTGCAGCATGACTTGAAAACAGCAACAAACTGTAGAGCTGCAACCACTAAGGGTTTTCGAATATTATGGGCCATACGCAAGGCTTTTGCGAATTTTGACGCTGAAATATTTCGTATATTATATCCGACTTATATCAGACCTCATTTGGAATATGGGATCCAGTCAGCGAGCCCGTGTTTCAAATACGAAATAGACTTATTAGAAAGGGTGCAAAGAGTAGGAACTAAGCTAATCAAGGGTTTCTCAATCCTCTCATATGAGGAGAGGTTAAGTCGACTGGGTTTATTTCCACTGTCATACAGACGACTTAGGGGTGACCTAATACTAGCATACCGTATCCTAAGAAATGATTTTGGAGCTAATTTATCTAATTTATTTCTTCCTTCTAGCACCAACCAATTGCGAGGACATCACCTCTAGGTTCAAAAACCACGGTCGAATCGTCTGCGTCTGGAGATCCGTTTCTCGCATCGAATTGTGAACCATTGGAACTCCCTACCGGAACACGTCGTATCAGCGCCATCCATTGATTCATTCAAGGCGAGATTGGACCTCCTGTGTGTAACAAATCGGAAGGATTAACACAGGCATATAGCCTACTATCCTAAATAAATCGTAAACTGTAAACTGTAAACTACAGCAAAGTTGCACTACGCTAGAAAGCGAAGACATTCTCTACAAGCTACATGGCTCAAAATACTTTTCCAAAATAGATCTAAAAGATGCTTATTTGCAAATTCCTCTTGACGAAGCGTCTCGTGCATTAACAACCATTAATACTCCATTTGGATTGTTCAAGTATAAGTTCTTACCTTTTGGTTTAAAGGTTTCACCTGCAATATTTCAAAAAGTAATAAATCAGATGATAGATGGATTAGATGGTGTTGAGTCTTACCAAGACGACATTATAGTTCATGGTCCGACCATCGAATTGCATAATGAACGTCTTTTAAAACTGTTCAGGCGTTTCTGTGAGAAAAATGTTCTTGTTAATCCATCTAAATTGCTACTACCTCACCTTTTTTAAAAGTTATGGAAAGACTTATTTTACTTAATCTTGAACCCTCCTTAAAGCCTTCTAATGACCCCAACCAGTTTGCTTATAAACATAGTAGGTGTACCTTAGATGCCGCTGTTGTTCTATATCATAATATAGTCTCTAGTTTAGATAGAGGAGCCAAATATGTTCGGTGTGCCTTCCTTGATTACACATCTGCATTTGACTCTGTTCCTAGGTCTCTCTTGCTAAGTAAGCTTGCTGCAACACAGAGTGAGATCTGGACAAATAAGTGGTTGCATTCCTATTTTTCTGATAGGAAGCAGTACACCGTCTACAATGGAAAGTCCTCCACTACCTCACTTACTTTATCTGGTGTTCCTCAAGGTGCTGTTCTTTCTCCTTTTCTGTTTTCTTTTTTCTTACATGACTTGCCCCGTTCTGATGTAGCCACTTTTGTCAAGTATGCTGATGACCTCTCTGTCTCCATGCCTGTCAACTCTCAGTCAGACTGTTCCAAATTAAATAACTTTCTCTCGGAAATTAGTCAGTGGTCCTCTTCAAACGGTCTTAAGCTGAATCCATCTAAATGTCAGGTAGTAAATTTCACTTTCAGACGAAAACGTGACCTACAACAACTAGCTAGCTCACATGGTCCCACTATCATTGACGGCATAGAGGTTGAAACTACATCTAATGTCAAGTACCTTGGACTGAGTATTTCCTCCGATCTTTCCTGGTCCTCTCACATCTTGCTAGTTACTAGAAAGATGTTTAAATGTCCAAGAGACTGGAGAGATGCCATCATTAGTCCGGTCTTCAAAACCGGATCTAGGAACTTAGTTCAGAACTATCGTCCTGTTAGTTTGCCCAGTATTGTTGTTGAACTACTAGAAAGAATAATTCGTGATGCTATCATTCAGTTCATTGAAGGGAACAAACTTTTCGCTGTGGAACAGCATGGTTTTAGAGCAGGTCATTCTTGCTTGACCAACCTTCTTTTGGCCAGAGAAAGTTGGGCAAGCTCAGCTGATGCTAATATACCGGTGGATGCCATATTCATCGACCTTAGCAAGGCGTTTGACAGGGTTTCTCACTCAGGTCTTCTAGTAAAGTTAGGTAGTCTGGGAATCAATAAAGTGGTTGCCGACTGGATTCAAGACTTTCTAAAGGACAGAAGACAAAGAGTACGAGTTAACAGGGTTTTATCAACATGGGAATCGGTTAAGAGTGGCGTTCCTCAGGGTACAATTCTAGGCCCACTTCTTTTCTTGATTTATGTTAATGAGATTCCATCGGTAGTTAAGTCATCCTGCTTACTGTTTGCTGATGACATTAAGATATGGAGGGCTTTACACGATGACAGTGACCAACTTGCTTTGCAGGAAGATGTAAACTTGTTAAGTGATTGGTGTAAGCACTGGGCCTTGGAGATTAACTTAAGCAAGAGTGTAGTTATGCATGTATCTCATAGTCACGTGCACAATTACCCAATGAATGGCATTACTCTCCCAGTGGTCACTGAGTACAAGGACTTGGGAGTGGTTGTGCAGCATGACTTGAAAACAGCAACAAACTGTAGAGCTGCAACCACTAAGGGTTTTCGAATATTATGGGCCATACGCAAGGCTTTTGCGAATTTTGACGCTGAAATATTTCGTATATTATATCCGACTTATATCAGACCTCATTTGGAATATGGGATCCAGTCAGCGAGCCCGTGTTTCAAATACGAAATAGACTTATTAGAAAGGGTGCAAAGAGTAGGAACTAAGCTAATCAAGGGTTTCTCAATCCTCTCATATGAGGAGAGGTTAAGTCGACTGGGTTTATTTCCACTGTCATACAGACGACTTAGGGGTGACCTAATACTAGCATACCGTATCCTAAGAAATGATTTTGGAGCTAATTTATCTAATTTATTTCTTCCTTCTAGCACCAACCAATTGCGAGGACATCACCTCTAGGTTCAAAAACCACGGTCGAATCGTCTGCGTCTGGAGATCCGTTTCTCGCATCGAATTGTGAACCATTGGAACTCCCTACCGGAACACGTCGTATCAGCGCCATCCATTGATTCATTCAAGGCGAGATTGGACCTCCTGTGTGTAACAAATCGGAAGGATTAACACAGGCATATAGCCTACTATCCTAAATAAATCGTAAACTGTAAACTGTAAACTACAGCAAAGTTGCACTACGCTAGAAAGCGAAGACATTCTCTACAAGCTACATGGCTCAAAATACTTTTCCAAAATAGATCTAAAAGATGCTTATTTGCAAATTCCTCTTGACGAAGCGTCTCGTGCATTAACAACCATTAATACTCCATTTGGATTGTTCAAGTATAAGTTCTTACCTTTTGGTTTAAAGGTTTCACCTGCAATATTTCAAAAAGTAATAAATCAGATGATAGATGGATTAGATGGTGTTGAGTCTTACCAAGACGACATTATAGTTCATGGTCCGACCATCGAATTGCATAATGAACGTCTTTTAAAACTGTTCAGGCGTTTCTGTGAGAAAAATGTTCTTGTTAATCCATCTAAATTGCTACTACCTCACCTTTTTTAAAAGTTATGGAAAGACTTATTTTACTTAATCTTGAACCCTCCTTAAAGCCTTCTAATGACCCCAACCAGTTTGCTTATAAACATAGTAGGTGTACCTTAGATGCCGCTGTTGTTCTATATCATAATATAGTCTCTAGTTTAGATAGAGGAGCCAAATATGTTCGGTGTGCCTTCCTTGATTACACATCTGCATTTGACTCTGTTCCTAGGTCTCTCTTGCTAAGTAAGCTTGCTGCAACACAGAGTGAGATCTGGACAAATAAGTGGTTGCATTCCTATTTTTCTGATAGGAAGCAGTACACCGTCTACAATGGAAAGTCCTCCACTACCTCACTTACTTTATCTGGTGTTCCTCAAGGTGCTGTTCTTTCTCCTTTTCTGTTTTCTTTTTTCTTACATGACTTGCCCCGTTCTGATGTAGCCACTTTTGTCAAGTATGCTGATGACCTCTCTGTCTCCATGCCTGTCAACTCTCAGTCAGACTGTTCCAAATTAAATAACTTTCTCTCGGAAATTAGTCAGTGGTCCTCTTCAAACGGTCTTAAGCTGAATCCATCTAAATGTCAGGTAGTAAATTTCACTTTCAGACGAAAACGTGACCTACAACAACTAGCTAGCTCACATGGTCCCACTATCATTGACGGCATAGAGGTTGAAACTACATCTAATGTCAAGTACCTTGGACTGAGTATTTCCTCCGATCTTTCCTGGTCCTCTCACATCTTGCTAGTTACTAGAAAGATGTTTAAATGTCCAAGAGACTGGAGAGATGCCATCATTAGTCCGGTCTTCAAAACCGGATCTAGGAACTTAGTTCAGAACTATCGTCCTGTTAGTTTGCCCAGTATTGTTGTTGAACTACTAGAAAGAATAATTCGTGATGCTATCATTCAGTTCATTGAAGGGAACAAACTTTTCGCTGTGGAACAGCATGGTTTTAGAGCAGGTCATTCTTGCTTGACCAACCTTCTTTTGGCCAGAGAAAGTTGGGCAAGCTCAGCTGATGCTAATATACCGGTGGATGCCATATTCATCGACCTTAGCAAGGCGTTTGACAGGGTTTCTCACTCAGGTCTTCTAGTAAAGTTAGGTAGTCTGGGAATCAATAAAGTGGTTGCCGACTGGATTCAAGACTTTCTAAAGGACAGAAGACAAAGAGTACGAGTTAACAGGGTTTTATCAACATGGGAATCGGTTAAGAGTGGCGTTCCTCAGGGTACAATTCTAGGCCCACTTCTTTTCTTGATTTATGTTAATGAGATTCCATCGGTAGTTAAGTCATCCTGCTTACTGTTTGCTGATGACATCAAGATATGGAGGGCTTTACACGATGACAGTGACCAACTTGCTTTGCAGGAAGATGTAAACTTGTTAAGTGATTGGTGTAAGCACTGGGCCTTGGAGATTAACTTAAGCAAGAGTGTAGTTATGCATGTATCTCATAGTCACGTGCACAATTACCCAATGAATGGCATTACTCTCCCAGTGGTCACTGAGTACAAGGACTTGGGAGTGGTTGTGCAGCATGACTTGAAAACAGCAACAAACTGTAGAGCTGCAACCACTAAGGGTTTTCGAATATTATGGGCCATACGCAAGGCTTTTGCGAATTTTGACGCTGAAATATTTCGTATATTATATCCGACTTATATCAGACCTCATTTGGAATATGGGATCCAGTCAGCGAGCCCGTGTTTCAAATACGAAATAGACTTATTAGAAAGGGTGCAAAGAGTAGGAACTAAGCTAATCAAGGGTTTCTCAATCCTCTCATATGAGGAGAGGTTAAGTCGACTGGGTTTATTTCCACTGTCATACAGACGACTTAGGGGTGACCTAATACTAGCATACCGTATCCTAAGAAATGATTTTGGAGCTAATTTATCTAATTTATTTCTTCCTTCTAGCACCAACCAATTGCGAGGACATCACCTCTAGGTTCAAAAACCACGGTCGAATCGTCTGCGTCTGGAGATCCGTTTCTCGCATCGAATTGTGAACCATTGGAACTCCCTACCGGAACACGTCGTATCAGCGCCATCCGTTGATTCATTCAAGGCGAGATTGGACCTCCTGTGTGTAACAAATCGAAAGGATTAACACAGGCATATAGCCTACTATCCTAAATAAATCGTAAACTGTAAACTGTAAACTACAGCAAAGTTGCACTACGCTAGAAAGCGAAGACATTCTCTACAAGCTACATGGCTCAAAATACTTTTCCAAAATAGATCTAAAAGATGCTTATTTGCAAATTCCTCTTGACGAAGCGTCTCGTGCATTAACAACCATTAATACTCCATTTGGATTGTTCAAGTATAAGTTCTTACCTTTTGGTTTAAAGGTTTCACCTGCAATATTTCAAAAAGTAATAAATCAGATGATAGATGGATTAGATGGTGTTGAGTCTTACCAAGACGACATTATAGTTCATGGTCCGACCATCGAATTGCATAATGAACGTCTTTTAAAACTGTTCAGGCGTTTCTGTGAGAAAAATGTTCTTGTTAATCCATCTAAATTGCTACTACCTCACCTTTTTTAAAAGTTATGGAAAGACTTATTTTACTTAATCTTGAACCCTCCTTAAAGCCTTCTAATGACCCCAACCAGTTTGCTTATAAACATAGTAGGTGTACCTTAGATGCCGCTGTTGTTCTATATCATAATATAGTCTCTAGTTTAGATAGAGGAGCCAAATATGTTCGGTGTGCCTTCCTTGATTACACATCTGCATTTGACTCTGTTCCTAGGTCTCTCTTGCTAAGTAAGCTTGCTGCAACACAGAGTGAGATCTGGACAAATAAGTGGTTGCATTCCTATTTTTCTGATAGGAAGCAGTACACCGTCTACAATGGAAAGTCCTCCACTACCTCACTTACTTTATCTGGTGTTCCTCAAGGTGCTGTTCTTTCTCCTTTTCTGTTTTCTTTTTTCTTACATGACTTGCCCCATTCTGATGTAGCCACTTTTGTCAAGTATGCTGATGACCTCTCTGTCTCCATGCCTGTCAACTCTCAGTCAGACTGTTCCAAATTAAATAACTTTCTCTCGGAAATTAGTCAGTGGTCCTCTTCAAACGGTCTTAAGCTGAATCCATCTAAATGTCAGGTAGTAAATTTCACTTTCAGACGAAAACGTGACCTACAACAACTAGCTAGCTCACATGGTCCCACTATCATTGACGGCATAGAGGTTGAAACTACATCTAATGTCAAGTACCTTGGACTGAGTATTTCCTCCGATCTTTCCTGGTCCTCTCACATCTTGCTAGTTACTAGAAAGATGTTTAAATGTCCAAGAGACTGGAGAGATGCCATCATTAGTCCGGTCTT